GAATGGTAATTTATAATCAGTCACAAGAACGTCGAATCTGAATCACTTGAAAAAAAACACGGGGGTGCTTAACTTTTTTCCAGGTGTATATATATAATTTTATACATACATACCCTCTTTTTCTCTTTCTCTGGCTCCCTTAGTGGCACAGTGGTATATCTGCGGTTTTACAACGCTAGAAACCGGGTTTCGATATCCGTGTTGGGCAGAGCACAGATAGCCCATTGTATAGCTTTGTGCTTAACTTCAAACAATCAATCTCTTTCCCTGTTTTTTTTTTTGTTGTTGTTGTTGTTGTTGTTTGTTTGTTTTTGTTTTCGATACTGAATGATTATTGGGTGTATAATAAGTAAACAAGGTACCATCAACTTTAACTAAGCATAAACGTATTGCATTATTGAGCAGGAGTGCAACCCGTAAGTCATTAATGTCTGAAGCAAATAAATAAATAAATAAATTGTCTTCTGGAAACCAGCTTTTAGGTCGTTCATATCAGGTGTGAATAACTTTCAGTACTGGCTTTTTGTTACTGGTTCTACGAACTCAAGGCCAAGTGAATGGCTTTTTGTTTCATAGGGCTATTGTAAAATAGCCTGAGATGCTTTTTAAAGTTTCATGCGTCTGTTTGAGGCCACTGACCGTTCCGTACGCAAGCATGAGACACAAAGAACGAGGAGCATTCAAAAAGTTTTAATTGGTCAATCACTCCTTTAGATTTGCAACAGTGGCCCCAGTTAAGAACTGAAGATGCGTAGTACAGCATCTTAAGCATAAATCTGCGGATAGTATGATTATTAAAAAGAAGGGGAGATAGTTTTTCAGGTGAAGATTTGTAGTTTAAAATTAAGAGCAGACGAAAATGAAACGCGAAAAACTGATAATAAATTACGAAAAACCAAAATAAGTAGGGAGTTGTTCTTGTCGTGTTTTATATTCTAAGGCTATTACTGTATGATCAACTGATTAAAATGAAATATGTCTAAAAAGCTATTCAAATAGCCATATTTTTAAAAGGATCCAAATGATTCTGGAACTTTCTAGTACTTTTCATTACAGATGTTTCGTGTCATATGATTGTTTTTTACCAAGAAGGGCCAAACTCAGTAAATAAAACCTTAATAAATTTTAGGTCGTTTACTTTCGACGGTATGCTTCCAGTATTCCGAATAATAATAAAATGTGAAAAAAAAACTCAACTATTCTACACATATTGTTTCGGATTGTGTAAGTATGATGAGGTGGCGCTGATTGAGGGCGATGTGTGTAGGTTTCGATTTGTGAGTGATAAGAAGGGAGAGTTTGTGTATTGTATTCAGTTCTTTAATAATGAACGCCCTTGCTCTTAAATTAATCATAAACTGTCACTTCCTAACGTCTTGTAGGGATTCTAACAATGCAAGATGCGTTGGCGGTGTTGCTGAATGAAGAGGCGAATGATGTCTCGCCGGCGATACGTCTGTTTGTTTGGTTGAAGTTAAGCACAAAGCTATAAAATGGGCTATTTAAAATGTACCATATTGCTAAATTGTGAGCTCAAGTTCTAATTTTTCCGAGAGGGCGTATCCCCCCCCCCCCCCAGTTTTCATAACACTTGTACACACAGTGTACATTACCTTAAATAGTACCTGGTCTGAAGCCTCACATGTAACCATATATATATATATATGTATAAGGTACACAGTCTATGCATTCTACATATCATTAATAACAGTAACCTGTCTCGTGTAATACGACTGAAAGCAGCGCGTAATTCAATATATTTCGTTTTCAGACACATTTTGTTACTATACATTAACAGTAAAGAAACGAGAACGATATTTTTTGGCACAATGAAAGATAAACTCTTTATTTGTTGTTTCAGTCGACTAGTTTCGGTAAAATACATAAAAAACGTCGCTTTATTTTTAAACTATTGTTACGTCTCCGTTCGTTCG